GCCCTGGAAGCCTGGCCACCTGATGGTGGTTACTAACCAGGAAGTTAGACGCCTGTAATTAACTGCGCCCATAGAACTAGATATTGAGTTTAACCTTGGGCCCAGGAAGCCTACTGAAAACAAGGCAACATAACAAAGCAAAGAGTTCACCATCATTAATCTAGGTTTTATAAAACCAAGACCTCCCTGGCTCTAATCCAGCGTCAGCTCAGGCCCTCCTGCTACCATTGGGATCAGCAGTGCAGAAGCCCCAGCCCGGCCTCTACGCCATGAGGCTAAGGGTATGTCTACACTTCAAGCTGATGGCGTATTTCCATCTCAAGGGGTACGTCTACACTCCCCACCGGATTGGCGGGTAGCGATTGATCTATCGGGGATCGATTTATCGTGTGTAGTGTAGACGTGATAAATCGATCTCCGATCGCTCTCCCGTCGACTGCTGAACTCCAGTTCGGCAAGAGGTGGAAGCAAAGTCGACGGGGGAGCGGCGGCCGTCGATCCCGCGCCGCGAGGACGCAAAGTAAGTGATTCTAAGTCGATCTAAGATACATCAACTTCAGCTACGCTATTCTCGTAGCTGAAGTTGCGTATCTTAGATCAGTCCCCCGCCCAGTGTAGACCAGGCCATAGATACTAACTCTGATTGGGCTAGCGTGCTACAAATAGAGCATGAGCAGCAGGAGGGTTAGCTGTGCTGAGCACGGGCTTGGCATCTCAGACGGGTACGTACTCAGGGTGGCTAGCCCCTCCCACCGTTGCAGCTACACTCTGTTGGTCGTGCACGAGGCGGGATCAGAGCTATGTCTCCTGGAACGGGGAATGACATACCCTGCAACCAGCACTGCAGTGACCTCACCTGACACGTTGGTACGGGGAGCTTGACTGGATTGGGGACTAAATGCAAACACTTGGCAGGCGTGGTCCCACTTGACTCCCAGTGGTTCGGTTGGTTGGGGTGGCAGTGGGGGCAAAGGAGGCGAGAGTGACCCGGAAAAAGGAACCGCCCAAGTGTACAATTGGAGTAGAACACACGGGCATTGTCTTGTTCCCATTCAAGTCAATGGGGATTTTGCTGTTGCTTTCACAGGCAATAGGTTCAGGCCCTAAGAATCTGATGCAAGGCGCACTGAAGTCAGTGGCAGCCTGTCCATTGACTTAACACGCCTCTAAATGACATGTATCTTGGACACTGTCAGTGCCTGCATTCTGGACCCATGCACCTTGACTGCGCAGAGGTTGCTATGGCCCTATTGAAAATATCACTCATTCGTCCATGATTTTCTTAGCAGATGAGAAATAGGAGCCCACAACTGGTTCTGCCTCCCCCTCCCCTTGTTCTTCAGCTTGCAAATTTTTATTAGCTGTCAACGTGTCAAACTTCCACTTAGCTGGACAGCTGCACGACCGGCCAAGTTCCAAAGCCTTGCCAGTGAGTTTAACAGATCTAGGGGCTTCTCAGGTGGAGGGGAGTGTGTGGGTAAGGGCTCAGGGATCGCAGACACGAAATGGGACAGGGCAGGGTTCATTCCACAGCCTCTCTCATGCAGGAGGTCAGACTAGCTGCTCTGGGAGGCAGTGGGACCCAATGGATAAGGCACTAGATGGGGCTCAGGAGATCTTGGGTCAGCTGTGTGACCTGGGGCACTTCATTTCTCTGTACCTCTGTTTTTCCTCCCACCCTTTGTCTGTTTTGCCTTGTAAGCTCCTTGGGGCACGGAGAGAGAGAGAGAGAGAGAGAGAGAGAGTGTGTGTGTGTGCGCGCGCAACATCTAGCACAATGAGGTCCCGATCTTGGCTGGCCTCTCTAGCCATTACTGTAATATTACTATAACTAGTGCTAATAAACATCCGTTCTGGCCGCAGAATCTGCGAAGAGAGGGGGACAGGGCTGCAGGACTCTTCCTGTTGTGTGTGTGTTTTCCACAAGAACTTGATTGACTGATGTTTGTGGCTCCTGAGAGCCAGTGAAAGATCCGCTCTGATATCCAGAAAATTTTACAAGGGGCGGCAGGCTTAAAAGCGGTGGGAAGAAGCCGAGCCTGCCAGGATGTCGGAATGAAAAAGCCATCAGGAATGTGCCTCGGAGAACAGCTGTTACTAGAACTCTGGCAGGAGCTTTCCCCACAAGCTGCCTGGGAGCCAGGAGCGGGATTCGGAGATCACAGCTTGAGCCGAGGGAAGGGGGTTCTTTATTTATTTGGTTGGCTTTGCTTTCCTCCACCCCCTTGTCGCTCTGAGGTCGGAGCTCCTCGGAAGGAAGGAACCTGCCACGGGTTCACAGTGCAGCTCTTCCAGCTGCGTGGGTGCCTGGATTAGAAGACTTGGCAGGGGCTGTGGGGAGGAATCTGACTCTCTGGCACTCCTCGGGCTTTCCCTCGGCTCCCGCGACTGGCACCACAATACACTGAACACAGATATATTTTTCACCGTCAAAATGTGCCTAGGGGTCTTTGCCCAAGTAGAATTCCCCCTCCGAGCACCATTCTCTGGGTGGGTTTGGCCAACCGGCACCTTCTTACTTCTCCTTGTTTCTCTACTAGGGTCTTTCCATGTCTGCGTCAGCCAAAGTAAATCAGGACAGGAGCATGCAACCCCCCTCGGTATTTTATCTCCAGCACAAGCCCCTGCCATCCAGGGTGGGTGGAGCAGGGCTTGCTTCAGGAGCAGGTAGGAGAATTTTCAAGAGGTCAGTAGGTCTAGTGGTGCAAAGATGACCCCTTCTCTGCTCCTGTTTAGTGAAGATGCCTTCTTGCTGGCTAGCGGCTATCATGAGACTTGAGGACAGGAAGCCCTGTGTTTCCTGTCCTCGAGAAGAGCACTCAGACCTCGCACAAACTGGGATCCCAGCAGGGTGATTTTACTGGCGTTGCCCAGAAGGAAATAAAGCAACATTTCAGTGACGCAGCTGCTGCGTTTCTGCTCTAGACCAGTGACCGTAGACTGGCTTTCACCACCGATGTGCTGTAAACCGAGAGGATGAGCAACCCAGTGTAATGCAGAGAGAAGGATAAACTCTTGGAACAGCACAGGGCCTGTTCCAATGCTCGCTGCAGGCAATGGGGGTTTTCCTTGGGTTTCAGTGGGAGGTGGGCTGGGTTCATCCTGCACAAATCGCATTATTGTTGCTAAAATCTCAGGAAGACCCTCTTGGCTAAAGTCAAGTCTAGTATCAGAGAATCACAGAAGATCAGGGTTGGAAGAGACCTCAGGAGGTCATTTCGTCCCACCCCTGCTCAAAGCAGGACCAACCCCAACTAAATCATCCCAGCCAGGGCTTTGTCAAGCCTGACCTTAAAAACCTCTAAGGATGGAGATTCCACCACCTCCCTAGGGAACCCATTCCAGTGCTTCACCACCCTCGTAGTGAAATAGTTTTTCCTAATATCAAACCTTGACCTCCTTCAGTGCAACTTGAGACCATTGCTCCTTGTTCTGTCATCTGCCACCACTGAGAACAGCCGAGCTCCATCCTCTTTGGAACCCCCCTTCAGGTAGTTGAAGGCTGCTATCAAATCCTCCCTCACTCTTCTCGTCTGCAGACTAAACAACCCCAGTTCCCTCAGCCTCTCCTCATAGGTCATGTGCCCCAGGCTGCTATCGGTCTAACTACATCTCCTCTGCTGGGGCAATACAGCCTATATTCATGAGGAGAAGGATTTACTCTGACACAGGGCATCTTTTGTATCTCAAGGGACGATGGGTCAGATCTTCCCTCCCCAGGAAAATAATAACCATTCCTCGCTCTTAGATAGAGCTTTTCATCAGTAGATCTCAAAGCGTTTTACAAAGGAGGCCAATATCATCCTCTCTACTATACAGATGGAGAAACTGAGGCACAGAGAGATGCTGGGTGGTTCAAGGAGACACGCTGCAGTCGTTGAGCCTTTGCCACACCCACGTGCTGTGAGTCGGAGCCTGAGCCGTGGCAGCTTTCAGAGAACATGCGTCGGGCAGGAAAAGCCAGCGGGAGGCGAAAAGACACAGGAAACGCTGTGAGCTGTAGCATTGCGGCTCTCCGTCTCTTTTGACGGCCGGGGCAAGACCATGAACCGGGTGGATGTCCGAGAGGTGTGAGGCCCGGTTTTGGGAGGATGCAGCCGTATGGCGGGGCTGGCCTCGGAGGGATGAACACAGGTCTGTTTTTATTCTGAGGGGAATCTCAGACAGAAAAATGCCTGTTTTGCTTCCAAAAGGTCATTTAACTGAAGAACGATTTCCCTGTCACGAGACAGCGTTGCTCTTTCCCTCCCTCCTGCGGCTGCAATTCCACTCCGGGCTCGACACACAGAGCCCCCGATGCTGAGGCTGAAATCTAATAGCGCTGCCCACACTGGCTGTTGGTGTCTCCATTTCACTTCTTTAACCCAGCACAATCCTCAGCCCCCCCCTTCCCTTTCCCCGGGGGGCTCTATTATACCCACCGATCTGTTCACACTCCTTATCCCTCTGCATGTTTGCACACACTGCTGACCCAGCCTTTATCTGGAAGACACAAGGGTCTGTGTGTGGAGTTCCCACAAGGGCTATTAATTGTGTCGATGTCATAGCTTTCTCCCTTCCTCCTCCTCTCCCCTTCCCCCCCCCGCAAACGCTCAGGAGATTTGCAAAAAGAAAAAAAAGATTCACACGCAGAATTTGCAACCTTTGCAAAATATGATCCAAACCCTTGGACGGGGAGAGGGGAGGCCGGGGTATGGGAAACGGTAGAAACAGCCCCAGCCACTCTGAGGTAAATGGTAAACAGCCCCTTCCCCATTCCAGGCACTAAACACAGAACTGAACGCCCCGTCAGCTTTGGGAAGGTTTGGATCGTGATCCCAATCTGGATTGAAATTTTGCAGCTGTAATGGGCCAAACCAAAATCCCAGATGGGAACAGCCTTGGGCTATGGGGAAACTTTGGATCTGGATCCAAACTATGCATCTCAGGCCCAGGTCACCTGACCCTACAGAAATGGTACATCCGCCGTGTCATCCTCCAACTCTCAGCCCCTCCTTCTCCTAGGTCAATGGACCTAGAGAGTCCCCTGGCTGCTGTGTTATCAGGGGACTCAGACATGTCCTGACTCTCATCCTTACCTGTACTCGGGCCTCTGTGAGTTTGGTCCTCTGGGCTAGCTCCTCTCGTGTGTAGATATCTGGGTAGTGGGTTCTCTCAAAGGCCTTCTCCAGCTCCTCCAGCTGCTCGGCCGTGAAGGTGGTCCGGCTACGGCGCTGCTTGCGTTTCAAGGGTAGGTCCGGTTCAGACTCAACATCTGAGCCTTCATCCAGCCTGTTACCTGGCGAGGAAAGAGAAGAAGGATTGAGGCTTAAATGGCAGAAAAGCCAAAGGGGAAGCAGGTGCAGAAGCAAGAATTAAACAGCTACAGGGAAGGAGAGAATCCAATACAGTCATAGAGTTTAAGGCCTGAATAGACCAGCAGATCATCTAGTCTGACCTCCTGTAGTTAATAGCCTACTAACACCTCCCAGCCACCCCCACAACCAGAATTAGAGCAATTCTACAGTGATGGTGTCCACCAAGCCAACTTCTACTTCTGGGTAGAGCTGGTCGGGGACGTTCTGACAAAACATTTTTTGTCAGAAAAATGCTGATTTGTCAAAACTGAAATGGTTTGTGGGAAAGGGGATCGATTTTGATGAATCTCCTGATTCGAAAATTGTTTGGAAAAAAAGAAAAGTTTCCAAATAGAAATGTCCCGTTTTGATATTTTTGAAACAAAACGTTTCGTTTTCCAGTTGGGAACTATTTTCATTTTGAAACGTTCATTTCTATTTTTTTTTAAAAGGTTCAAAATAAAAAAGGTCAGAATTGAAAGGAAACACCTACAAATGATCCAAACATGTCAATCGACCCAGTTTGATGAGTATTATAGTTTTTGGATGATCAGTTTGTGAACATTGTGAACCCTTTGTCCTGATTTGGGACATGGAAACACATGTGAACCCTCAAAAACTCTCATGGGGCATGAAAAGAGTTTCTACTTCTGGCCTGCCCAGAGGACACAGGGCTGCTGGCTTGATGCTGATGGAAACAGCACCGCTCCTCAGTGGCTGAGAGAAAGTACATCCTTTATAGACGCCCTGAGCTGGGTAGGGGCTTTAAGTGGAGGACAGAGGACCTAACACCAATAGTTTGGGCTCTAGGACCCTGCAAGGTGGAGGGTCCCAGAGCTCAGGTTGCAGCCTGAATCCAAACAGTCTACATTGTAGTTAAACAGCCCCTTAGCCTGAGTCAGCTGGTGGCTGTTTGATGCCCCTTTGTGACACGAGTTTAGGGGCCTCGGTTTAGTTCTTTGTGAACAAGCCTCCATTTCCCCCAAACCCCACCACAGCCGATGCTCATTGTTGGCCATCTCTGCAGAAAGACCATGAGCTGAGTGAATTCCCCCGTCAACCCTAGAGGTGGTCTCGTCTGGTTGGCATGATGCCCCTTTTCAGCGCACAGTGCACAGGAAGATTTCACGACTGCCCAGTCTCCACCTGTCCCAAGCGAGACAGCAAAGCTTCCCCAACACCCATCCTCAAAAGTAGCATTTGACCCCCTGACTTCAGTGAATAGGACACCCCTGGGCCCCACTTTGAGGGAATGATGACGGATTCATAAATAGCATTTTTAACGGGCTAAGAGCATCTTAAGGGAGACGCTAGGAGTTTAAAGAACTCCCACTAGTTTCAAAACAGCTCACAGGGAAAGGTCTCCTGTTAAGTCAGTAACTGCATCTCCTGTCAGCATCGTACAAGGTTAAAGGGAGTCACAACTCACAGAAAAGGTCCTCGGCTCTTGGAGAGGGAAAGCAAACAAGTTTCTGTTGTTTGCACATGTTTTGGCTACAGTCCTGGCTCTCACTCTAACTACTCTGTCTTCATGGTTAGCTCTGATACCCCACCTGCTACAGTCTTTTATCTGGGAGGGAGGGTAAAAGAAAGAAAGAAAGAAATGCTTCAGCATTTGTTTGAGTTGTATTAACCTGGACCTGCTGCCAGTATCAAGTCTTTGCTGTGTATGGAACGTACCATTAAACAACAAAACCAAATAGATCATACCTGGCCTAAAAGAGTTTGCCCTGGAGCTAGTGGGCCTGATTCTGGTCTCATGTACACAAGTGCAAATCCTCAACTGATGTCCACGGAGTTACACCAGTGTAAAAACGCGGCCCAGTGAACCTTACTGGGAGGGGGTGGGAGAAAGGTGCTAGACTGCATCACGCTTTAGTGCTCCCTCGAGGCCACTCACATTGCAAAACTGTTGTCTCAACAGATGCTGTGCGACCCTGCCACAGGTTAAATGCCACCTGCGGTGCAGATACCGATGCACAGAATGCTTAATCTAGGCCGGTACCCCGTGTCGCTGTGTGAGAAAGTGAGAGACAACGTCAATTCTCGTGGGATATATGCCCTTGGTCAGTATGGAGGCAGACTGGAGAACATGATGTATAAAGCCTGAAGTCTCCTCAGCGAAATCTGCTCTCTGTCTCTTTCTCTTTCTCTGTCTCTCATTAATACAATAGATTGTACTTAAATGCACATTGGTTAACTACAGGGGACCTGATTCTGATCTCCCTTACACCAGAATAACTCCACTGACTTCAATGGTGTTACTCCCGATTTACACGGACGTAGCTGAGAGCAGAATCAGGACCATAATCTGTTTCAGTGCATGGTTCACAGTCCCAATCTGCTCCTATTAGGCCAAACCTGTATCAGCTATGATTAAATGCATGAGTTACATATGCAGGGCCAAATCCATCCTTGGAATAATCCATATAAAGTCAATGGAGCTGCCCCAGGGCTGAATCTGTCCCCTTCTCTGCACTGTGCTTTTATGTGATGATCGGAACTTTCCACCAAAACCTCCTTTTTTCCCTTCCAGGACTGGGAATCCCAGCTGTGGCGTTCTCAACAGCTGCTGAACAATGCGGACGGCCTGTGGCGCATGAGGCAAATGTCCCAATGGGGGCCAATTATTTATAACGAGCAGGTCAAACATGCCATTGGATCCAGCATGCTGCAGGGCAGGATGCTTTCATTTCTTGGGTCTATGTGAGGAGGATGCACCGTGTCTGAATTGAGCTGTTAGATGCAGGCGTGATGGGCCACCTCCGTTTGAGTTAACCTTGGGTTCTGCTGTAGCCGCATGAGCTACATGGCTTCCTATCTGTCAGGGTAGTTATACTGGTGTAAGGGAGATCAGAATCAGGTCCCCTGTAGTTAACCAATATGCATTTAAGTACAATTAGTGACCGCATGTTCTCAGAGCTGTGGGAATCACTGCACCAAGTGATTGTAACCCAACCTCTATTTCCACCTGTGGGATACCAATAGAATCAGCATCGTAGGACTGGAAGGGACCTCGAGAGGTCATCTAGTCCAGTCCCCTCCACCGAGGCAGGACTAAGTATTATCTAGACCATCCATGACAGGTGTTTGTCCAACCTGCTCTTAAAAATCCCCAATGATGGAGATTCCACCACCTCCCTAGGCAATTTATTCCAGTGCTTAACCACCCTGACAGCTAGGAAGCTTTTCCTAATGTCCAACCTAAACTGCCCTTGCTGCAATTTAAGCCCATTGCTTCTTGTCCTATCCTCAGAGGTTAAGGAGAACAATTTTACTCCCTCCTCTTTGTAACAACCTTTTATGTGCTTGAAAACGGTTATCATGTCCCCTCTCAGTCTTCTCTTCTCCAAACTAAACAAACCCAATTTTTTCAGTCTTTCCTCATAGGTCATGTTTTCTAGACCTTTAATCATTTTTGTTGCTCTCCTCGACTTTCTCCAAGTTGTCCACCTCTTTCCTGAAATGTGGCACCCAGAACAGGACACAATACTCCAGTTGAGGCAGTATCAGCGCGGAGTAGAGCGGAAGAATTACTTCTCATGTTTTGATTGCAACACTCCTGCTTATACATCCCAAAATGATGTTTGCTTTTCTTGCAACAGTGTTACACTGTTGACTCATATTTAGATTGTGATCCACAGATCCCTTTCTGCAATACAATATATAGTGTCCTCATATTTTCGATATCTCACATCTGTTATTCCCAGTGGGCCAAATCATGGTTCCAATGAAATCAATAACAGTTCTGCTGTTGACCTCAGTGAGACCAGCATCGGGCCAATATTTGGAGGAGGCCTTTAGAATCCTGACTGTAGCACAAATCTGGTACATGATCAGCTTCATTGGTTCTTGCATTTTCAGGAAAATCTCTAGATTCTTAAATGGTGCAACATACACATCTGGGCCCCGGACAATTCCGGACACATCTGGACTCTGGAGAACCAGGCTGTGCACAAGCACATCTGGAATCCAATTAACATATTATTAGGTTCATTAGCATACATGTAATTGTATATTTCACAAGCAACTGTCAGTTTCATTAGTTGGCATTCTTGATGGAAATAATTTGCAATAATAAAAGTTAGGACAGAGGTAAGTTTGGGTCTAAAATGAAGGCTGTCCCTGGTAATGAGAGGACACTTGAGAGTGTTTTGTCCGCAGCATATAAACAGAGAAGTTAGATAAAAAATATAAAACACTCTTGCTGGAAGGCTGCAGAGGAACACTATTTTTGTTCCTAGATTCCAGAACAATGCACAGTAACCCAAAACAGAGAGAGAGAAAGCAGGCTGCTCACCAAGGCAGCAAGGCACAATTCACCCCACTTTGCTTTAAACTGGCTCCTTCCAGACTTACTCTGCTCACATACTTTCCTAGGAGCCTGCAAGCAGGACGAGAAAGCTCCCCCACACCCCGCTCTTAAAGTGATAGCTTGCAATACAACAGAGTCCTCAATACACCAGAGACAGTTGTGAAGGCAAATTAATCAGATTGAACATTATTTCAATATAGACAAATACACACACACATATAGCAGCCATCCTCAGGCTGTTGCATAAGGAACAGCTCCGTGCTGCTCTTTTCATTGTGCAGTAATTACACGGAGTTTCAGATTTACAGTGTTGTAGAGGTGGGATGGACTTGTTGGCCAGTAGAAAACATGCAGGCAACCTAAGCACCTGAGAGGACTTCCAGAGTCCCTATCGGCTTTGGGATTACTGTGATCACTGATCCTGACCTTAAGAATTGCACATATCCCATTATTTCTGTTACCCTGTCTCCCCCACCTCTTAAACTTGACCCCCGTGTTTGTCTCATCCACATGTTACTTCTTGTCTTTCAGACTCTAAGTGCTTCGGCCCAAGGACTGTAATTTACTATATTATTGTACAGTGCCTAGTGCAGTGAACCCCCCGATCTGGACGTATCACAATATAAA